TTCGGGGGGATTTTGGGGGGGGTCCGGGGGCCCCCCCCGTCCATTATCGCAGGGAGATGCTCCAGTCAGCCCCGATGGGGACCCCCGGGCGCCGCAGGGTCAGCACCGAGCGCTCGGGGTCGTGCTGGAAATGCAGCGGGGTCTGGGAACCGTCTGAGGGGACACGGAATTCGGGGTCAGGGATCCCAAATTCCAGCTCCGGGACCCCAAAAACCCATCAAGAACACAAAATGCTCCTCAGAAATCTCAAATTTCCCCTGAGGGACCCCAAATTCACATCAGGGACCCCAAAAACCCACCAAGAACACAAAACGCTCCTCAGAAATCCCAAATTTCCCCTGAGGGACCCTGAATTCACATCAGGGACCCCAAAAACCCATCAAGAAGGTAAAATTCCCCTCAGAAACCTCAAATTCTCCATGAGGGACCCTGAGTTCACATCAGGGACCCCAAAAACCCATCAAGAAGATAAAATTCCCCTCAGAAACCTCAAATTCTTCATGAGGGACCCTCAATTCACCTCAGGGACCCCAAATTCTCTTCAGAAACCTCAAATTCTCCATGAGGGTCCCTGAATTCCTGTCAGGGACCCCAAATTCTCCTCAGAAACCCAAAATTCTCACAAGGACAACAAAATTCCCCTCAGGGATCCCAAATCCTCCCTCAAGGACCCCAAATTCCCCTCAGAAACCTCAAATTCTCCATGAGGAACACTGAATTCCTGTCAGGGACCCCAAATTCCCCTCAGAAACTCAATATTCTCTCAAGGACAACAGGGATCCCAAAATCCTCCCTCAAGGGACCCCAAAACCCACTCAGAAACCCCAAAATCTCCTCAGGATTCCCCCCAAATTACCCCTCCCGACCCCTCATTGTCCGTCCTGAGCCAGGCGCTCTGTGGCCTCCCCACACCCTCAGGATGACGCCTCCAAAACCCCCAAAAACCCATCCTAAAACCCTAAAACCCCACCAAAACCCCACCAAAATCCACCCTAAAACCCCAAAACCCCCTAAAAATCCACTCAAAACCCCCCAAAATCCCCCCTCACCGTGTGTGGTCAGCAGGGCGCTCTCCGGCCTCCCCACACCCTCAGGATGACCCCTCCAAAATCCACCCAAAACTCACACTAAAATCCCCAAAACCCACCCTAAAACCCTCAAAAAAACCCTCAACCCCCCCCGAAATCCATCCTAAAACCCCTCGAACACCCCAAAATCCTTCCAAATCCCCCCTCACCGTGTGTGGTCAGCAGGGCGCTCTCCGGCCGCCCCACCCCCAGGATGACCACTCTCTCCAGCCAGGCCGGGGTGGACATGGACCCGCGGGGGTCAGCAGAGCTGGGGGGGACAGAGGGGTCACAGAGGGATCACAGCCCCCCAAAAATCCCCACAAAAATCTCCCCTGACCCCTCAACCCCCTCACAGACAGGGCCCAGGAAAAACAGGGGTTTGAGAGGATCCAGGGGTGTTTTGGGAGTATTTTGGGGCTGTTTTGGGGATCTTTTAGGACCATTTTGGGGTACCTGACCATGAGGGTAACAAGGGGTTGTTCTGAGGTGGATTTGGAAGGTATTTTTTAGTGTTTTGGGTTAGTTTTCTCTTCATGTTTCCCGCCCTTTTTCTCCCCTCACGTTTTGCCGCCCTTTTCCCCCTCACGTTTTCCCGCCTTTTTCTCTCCTCACGTTTTCCCGCCCTTTTTTTCCCCTCACGTTTCCCTGCCCTTTTTCTCCCCTCACGTTTTCCTTTTTCCCCTTCACATTTCTGTTTTCCACCCTCACACTTCCCTTTTTCCCCTCACATTTCCCCCCCTTTTTCCCCTTTGGTATTGGGGCGTTTTGGGTACCTGCCTGTGAGAGTGCCTGGGAGGTTTTTTGGGGCAGTTTTGGGGATATTTTAGGGTAATTTTAGGACATTTTTGGATACCTGATAGTCAGGGTACCCTGGTGCTGTCTCAGACAGGATTTTTTGAATACTTTAGGATATTCTGGGCTGGTTTTGGGATATTTTGGGTACCTGGAGGTGAGGGTGCCGTTGGCGAAGCTGAAGTGCCGGTGCAGGAATGCGTTTTTGGTGTCATAGTCAAAGCTGACCCCATCATCCAGGAACAGATCGCCCTGTGCCGTGCCCTGGGGGACCAAAGGGAGTTTGGGAGGGTCCCAGAAAGGTTTGGGGAGATTTTAGGGGGTCCCAGAAGGGTTTGGGGAGGTTTAGGGGGGTTTTAGAAAGGTTTGGGGGGTCCCAGAAGGGTTTGGGGAAGCTTGGGGGGGGTCCCAAAAAGGTTTGGGGAGGTCTTGGGGGGTGTGGGGTGATGCTGGCAGGAATCTCAGTGGATTTGAGGGAGGTCTTGAGGGGTTTTGGGGGGTCCTGGAGGGGTTTGGGGGGAAAATGAGAGGTCTGGGTCTGTCTCAGAGGATTTTTGAGGGACCCAGGAAGGGTTTTTGGGGTTCCTGGGGGGGATTCGGGGTCCCTGCACTCACCTGGAAGGTGTTTGGGGGAATTTTGGGGTTCCTGGCAGGGGTTTCGGGGTCTCTCTACTCACCTGGGAGGGGTTTTGGGGGGTTTTGGTGGGGATTTTGGGGTCCCTGGGGGGTTTTTGGGGTCCCCACACTCACCTGGGGGCTCAGGGCCACGTAGAGGGTGAAGGGGTCGTCCCTCATGGCCTCGGTGGAGCGGCGAGGCCGTCTCAGAGGATTTTTGAGGGACCCAGGAAGGGTTTTTGGGGTTCCTGGGGGGGATTCGGGGTCCCTGCACTCACCTGGAAGGTGTTTGGGGGAATTTTGGGGTTCCTGGCAGGGGTTTCGGGGTCCCTCTACTCACCTGGGAGGGGTTTTGGTGGGGGTTTTGGGGTCCCTGGGGGGTTTTTGGGGTCCCCACACTCACCTGGGGGCTCAGGGCCACGTAGAGGGTGAAGGGGTCGTCCCTCATGGCCTCGGTGGAGCGGCGAGGCCGATCCTGGCGTGGGATCACCGTCCCACCCCGCTGGAACACCGGGATCTGGGGGGCACAGGGGGATCAGCACCCCAAAAACCCCATTAAAAAAAAACCCAAATCCCCCCAAACCCCTCCCAAAAAAACCCCAAAATCCCCCAGGTTACCCCCAGTGCTGGAGGTGATTTGGACCACTGTCCCCACAACCATTGGCACACAGGGATCTGGGGGGATCCAGGAGGTTTTTGGGGTCTCCAAGGGGATTTTGGGGTCGCCATGGAAGTTCTGGGGTCTCCAGGGAGGTTTTTGGGGTCCCAACCCCTTCCCCAAACCCCCTGAGCCCCCCCCAAAAACAACCCACGGTGCTGAGAGTGATGGGCACCACCCTCCCCATGAGGGAACAGAGGATCAGGGCAGGGAGGTTTTTGGGGTCCCAACCCCTTCCCCAAACCCCCTGAGCCCCCCCCAAAAACAACCCACGGTGCTGAGGGTGATGGGCACCATCCTCCCCATGCAGAAACAGGGGGATCTGAAGAGGATTTTGGGGTGGCCAGGGGGAATTTTGGGGTTTCCAAGGGGAGTTTTAGGGTCTCCCGGGGGTTTTGGGGTCCCGTCATCCCCCCAAACCCCTTGAGCCCCCCCAAAAACCACGGGGGCCTGGGGGGACAGGGGGGTTTGGGGTCAGGGGGTTTGGGGACATTTTGGGTGTTTGGGGTCAGAGGGACTGAGGGCATTTTGGGGTCAGGGGGTTTGGGGGCATTTTGGGGATTTGGGGGTCAGTGGCTTTGGGGTCAGGGGGATTTGGAGGCATTTTGGGGATTTGGGGTCATCAGGGTTTGGGGTCAGGGGATTTGGGGTTATCTTGAATGGATTTAGGGTTATCCAGGTAGGTTTTTGGGATGGATTTGGGGTGGATTCAGGGTTATTCCAGGTGGGTTTTTGGGGTGGATTTGGGGTTTTTGGGGTCGCACACCTCATGACGGGGACGCCCTGGCGGTGGCAGTGGTAGAAGGCCATGTTGGGCTGGTTTTGGGATATTTTGGGTACCTGGAGGTGAGGGTGCCGTTGGCGAAGCTGAAGTGCCGGTGCAGGAATGCGTTTTTGGTGTCATAGTCAAAGCTGACCCCATCATCCAGGAACAGATCGCCCTGTGCCGTGCCCTGGGGGACCAAAGGGAGTTTGGGAGGGTCCCAGAAAGGTTTGGGGAGATTTTAGGGGGTCCCAGAAGGGTTTGGGGAGGTTTAGGGGGGTTTTAGAAAGGTTTGGGGGGTCCCAGAAGGGTTTGGGGAAGCTTGGGGGGGGTCCCAAAAAGGTTTGGGGAGGTCTTGGGGGGTGTGGGGTGATGCTGGCAGGAATCTCAGTGGATTTGAGGGAGGTCTTGAGGGGTTTTGGGGGGTCCTGGAGGGGTTTGGGGGGAAAATGAGAGGTCTGGGTCTGTCTCAGAGGATTTTTGAGGGACCCAGGAAGGGTTTTTGGGGTTCCTGGGGGGGATTCGGGGTCCCTGCACTCACCTGGAAGGTGTTTGGGGGAATTTTGGGGTTCCTGGCAGGGGTTTCGGGGTCCCTCTACTCACCTGGGAGGGGTTTTGGTGGGGGTTTTGGGGTCCCTGGGGGGTTTTTGGGGTCCCCACACTCACCTGGGGGCTCAGGGCCACGTAGAGGGTGAAGGGGTCGTCCCTCATGGCCTCGGTGGAGCGGCGAGGCCGGTCCTGGCGTGGGATCACCGTCCCACCCCGCTGGAACACCGGGATCTGGGGGGCACAGGGGGATCAGCACCCCAAAAACCCCATTAAAAAAAAACCCAAATCCCCCCAAACCCCTCCCAAAAAAACCCCAAAATCCCCCAGGTTACCCCCAGTGCTGGAGGTGATTTTGACCACTGTCCCCCCAACCATTGGCACACAGGGATCTGGGGGGATCCAGGAGGTTTTTGGGGTCTCCAAGGGGATTTTGGGGTCGCCATGGAAGTTCTGGGGTCTCCAGGGAGGTTTTTGGGGTCCCAACCCCTTCCCCAAACCCCCTGAGCCCCCCCCAAAAACAACCCACGGTGCTGAGAGTGATGGGCACCACCCTCCCCATGAGGGAACAGAGGATCAGGGGAGGATTTTGGGGTGTCCAGAGGGAATTTTGGGGTTTCCAAAGGGAGTTTTAGGGTCTCCCGGGGGTTTTGGGGTCCCGTCATCCCCCCAAACCCCTTGAGCCCCCCCAAAAACCCACGGTGCTGAGGGTGACGGGCACATAGAGGGTCTGGGGCGCCCGGTGCTGCTCGTGCGTCTCGTCATTGTACCAGACCTGGGGGGGGAAATTTAGGGTTCAGGAGGGTCCTAAACCCCCAAAAACCCCAAAAATACCCCAAAATCCCCTCACTCACCTCTCCCTCCCCAGGCAGGTACACGTTGACCCCACGGGCACCCGGCTCCGTCACGGGGTGCACCAGGAGCACCCGGTCTGGGGGACAGGGGTTAGCAAGGGGGAAACCCCAAAAATGACCCCAAAAGGGATCCTAAAATGGGTCAGGGACCCAAAAAAGGGAGTCAGGGACGCTAAAAAGGGTCAGGGACTCCTCCTCACCGAGCAGGTACTGGTCATCCATGGCAAAGGTCTGGGGGTCATCTGGGAATTCCATCCACAGGGGCCGGGTGGGTTTGGGGTTTTTGGGGTCACACACCTCATGACGGGGACGCCCTGGCGGTGGCAGTGGTAGAAGGCCGTGTACCAGGTGGGCAGCAGGGAAGTTTGGGGTTATCCCGGGTGGGATTTTTGGGGTGGATTTGGGGTTATTCTGGGTGGGTATTTGGGGTGGATTCGGGGTTGTACCCGGTGGGCACCAGGGGGGTTTGGGCTTATCCTGGGTGGGTTTTGGGGTGGATTTGGGGTGATCCCAGGTGGGTTTTGCTGTATCTCAGGTGGGTTTTGGGGTGGATTTGGGGTTATTCCAGGTGGATTTGGGGTTTTTGGGATCACACACCTCATGACGGGGACGCCCTGGCGGTGGCAGTGGTAGAAGGCCGTGTACCAGGTGGGCAGCAGGGGGGTTTGGGGTTATCCTGGGTGGGTTTTGGGGTGGATTTGGGGTCACACACCTCATGACGGGGACGCCCTGGCGGTGGCAGTGGTAGAAGGCCGTGTACCAGGTGGGCAGCAGGGCGTAGCGGCGCCGCAGCGCGCTCCTGACCAGCGCCAGGTGCTCGGGGCTCAGCAGCCAGGGCTCGCGCCGCGCCGTGTCCAGGTGCGCGTGGGCGCGGAAGAAGGGCTGGAAGGCCCCGGCCTGGTACCAGCGCACCTGCAGCTCCGGGCCCGGGTTCTGGAAAAAGCCGCCCACGTCCGCTGCCAACGGGGCAGGGGGGCAGTGAGCCCGGATCCTGAGCCCAGATCCCCGTGCTAATCCTGGTCCCAGCCCTGGTCCTTGTCCTGGTCCTGGTTCTGATCCTGATCCCAGCTCTGATCCCAATCCTGGTCCTGGTCCTGATCCCAGCTCTGATCCCAATCCCGGTCCTGGTTCTGATCCCAATCCCAGCCCTGGTTCTTCTCCTCATCCTGGTTCTGATCCTGATCCCAGCCCTGGTTCTTCTCCTCGTCCTGGTTCTGATCCTGGTCCCAGTCCTGATCCCAATCCAGGTCCTGATCCTGGTACCAGTCCTGGTCCTGGTTCTGATCCTGATCCCAGTCCTGATCCCAATCCTGGTCCCATTCCTATTCCGGATCCCAGCTCTGACCCCATCCCTGACCCCATCCCCAATCCCTGACCCCATTCCCTATCCCATATCCCTGGTCCTTGTCCTGGTCCTGGTCCTGATCCTGATCCCAGCTCTGATACCAATCCTGGTCCCAGCCCTGATCCCAGTCCTGGTCCTGGTCCTGATCCTGATCCCAGCTCTGATACCAATCCTGGTCCCAGCCCTGATCCCAGTCCTGGTCCTGGTCCTGATCCTGATCCCAGCTCTGATCCCAGTCCTGGTCCTGGTTCTGATCCTGATCCCAGCTCTGATCCCAATCCTGGTCCTGGTTCTGATCCTGATCCCAGCTCTGATCCCAATCCTGGTCCTGGTTCTGATCCTGATCCCAGCTCTGATCCCAATCCTGGTCCTGGTCCTGGTCCTGATCCCAGCTCTGATACCAATCCTGGTCCTGGTTCTGATCCTGGTACCAGCTCTGATCCCAATCCTGGTCCTGGTCCTGGTGCCAGCCCTGACCCCAAGTCCTGGTCCTGATCCTGACCCCAGCCCTAATCCCAGTCCTGGTCCTGGTCCTGATCTCAATATCAATCCCAGTCCTGATCCCAATCCTAGTCCTAGTTCTGATCCTGATCCCAGCTCTGATCCCAATCCTGGTCCTGGTCCTGATTCTGGTCCTGGTCGCAGCCCTGAGCCCAGATCCTGGTCCTGATCTCAATCCTAGTCCCAGCCCTGATCCCATTCCTGATCTTGGTGTCAGTTCTGCTCCTAGATCCTGGTCCTGATCCTGACCCCAGCCCTGATCCCAGTCCTGGTCCCATTCCTATTCCGGATCCCAGCTCTGACCCCATCCCTGACCCCATCCCCAATCCCTGACCCCATTCCCTATCCCATATCCCATATCCCTGACCCCAATCCCATTATTCCCAGCATTCCCAGTGCTCCCAGTGCTCCCAGTTTGGCTCCCCCCCGCAGAAGGCCAGCCCTGCCAGCCCGAAGCTCAGGCACATGGGGATGGATGGAGACCCCTGACCCCATCTCCAATCCCTATCCCATTCCCTATCCCATATCCCGATCCCTGACCCCGATCCCAGCATTCCCAGTGCTCCCAGTGCTCCCAGTTTGGCTCACCCCCGCAGAAGGCCAGCCCTGCCAGCCCGAAGCTCAGGCACATGGGGATGGATGGAGACCCCTGACCCCATATCCCTATCCCATATCCCAGTCCCTGACCCCATTCCCTATCCCATATCCCAATCCCATTATTCCCAGTGCTCCCAGTGCTCCCAGTTTGGCTCACCCCCGCAGAAGGCCAGCCCTGCCAGCCCGAAGCTCAGGCACATGGGGATGGAGATCCGCAGGTGCTCCCAGTCAGCCGTGTTGTCCCCTGTCCAAACCGCACCTGGGGGGGTTTGGGGGAGGTCAGGGGGGGGTTCCCCTCGATCCTGACCCCCCCCAGAATTCCAGGATTTGCCCAAAATCCCGGGATTTCCCCCCGGTCCTCACCGTAGCGCTGGGAGCCGGCGAAGAAGGCGCGGCTGAGCACGAAGGGCCGGTGCCGGCCCCCCGAGCGCCGGATCTGCCCCTCGGCCGTGGCCTTTTGCTGCCAACGGGGAAAACGGGGTCAGCCACCCCAAACCTGACCCCAAACCCCACCCCAAAGCCAATCCTGGTCCTGGTTCTGATCCTGGTACCAGCTCTGATCCCAATCCTGGTCCTGGTCCTGGTCCTGATCCCAGCTCTGATACCAATCCTGGTCCTGGTTCTGATCCTGGTACCAGCTCTGATCCCAATCCTGGTCCTGGTCCTGGTGCCAGCCCTGACCCCAAGTCCTGGTCCTGATCCTGACCCCAGCCCTAATCCCAGTCCTGGTCCTGGTCCTGATCTCAATATCAATCCCAGTCCTGATCCCAATCCTAGTCCTAGTTCTGATCCTGATCCCAGCTCTGATCCCAATCCTGGTCCTGGTCCTGATTCTGGTCCTGGTCGCAGCCCTGAGCCCAGATCCTGGTCCTGATCTCAATCCTAGTCCCAGCCCTGATCCCATTCCTGATCTTGGTGTCAGTTCTGCTCCTAGATCCTGGTCCTGATCCTGACCCCAGCCCTGATCCCAGTCCTGGTCCCATTCCTATTCCGGATCCCAGCTCTGACCCCATCCCTGACCCCATCTCCAATCCCTGACCCCATAACCCAATCCCTGACCCCATTCCCAGTGCTCCCAGTGCTCCCAGTTTGGCTCACCCCCGCAGAAGGCCAGCCCTGCCAGCCCGAAGCTCAGGCACATGGGGATGGATGGAGACCCCTGACCCCATATCCCTATCCCATATCCCAGTCCCTGACCCCATTCCCTATCCCATATCCCAATCCCATTATTCCCAGTGCTCCCAGTGCTCCCAGTTTGGCTCACCCCCGCAGAAGGCCAGCCCTGCCAGCCCGAAGCTCAGGCACATGGGGATGGAGATCCGCAGGTGCTCCCAGTCAGCCGTGTTGTCCCCTGTCCAAACCGCACCTGGGGGGGTTTGGGGGAGGTCAGGGGGGGGTTCCCCTCGATCCTGACCCCCCCCCAGAATTCCAGGATTTGCCCAAAATCCCGGGATTTCCCCCCGGTCCTCACCGTAGCGCTGGGAGCCGGCGAAGAAGGCGCGGCTGAGCACGAAGGGCCGGTGCCGGCCCCCCGAGCGCCGGATCTGCCCCTCGGCCGTGGCCTTTTGCTGCCAACGGGGAAAACGGGGTCAGCCACCCCAAACCTGACCCCAAACCCCACCCCAAAGGGACTGGGAGGTCCTAAAGCGGTTTGGGGGGAAATGAAGGGGGTATTGAGAGGGTTTGGGGGGGTCTAGAACAGTTTTGGGGGGTCCTAAAGGGGTTTGGGAGGAAATGAAAGGGGAATTAAGAGGGTTTGGGGGGTCCTAGAGGGGGTTTGGGGGGCCTAAAAGGGGTTGGTGGGAGTCTAAAAGGGTTTGGGGAGTCCTAAAGGGGTTTGGGGGGAAATGAAAGGGGAATTGAGAGGGTTTGGGGGGGTTCCAAAAGGGGTTTGTGGGGCTCTGGGAGGTTTGGACTTTTTGGGGTCCCTGTGGGGTTTTGGGGGTGTCCCTGGGGGGATTTTGGCAGTTTTTGGGGGGAGGTCTCACCACGTAGAGCCCGTAGAGGTTGTGCAGCTCACGGTGCTCCCAGCCCCCGAAGTGCCGCGCGTCCTTGTGCATCGTCACCTCGGGGCCGCTGAACACCGACGGCTCGTTCATGTCGTTCCACGTGAACAGCGCCTCCGTGGAGCCCTGGGGGGACCCCAGATCAGTGGGAGGACCTCAAAAATATATGGGGGTTCTAAAACCCTCCCAGGGGATCCCCAAAATCAGGGTGGAAAAGCAAGGCGGGGTCTCCAAAAAGGCAACGAGGGAAAAGGGTGAGAGGGAGAAAGGGGTGGGGAGAGATTCCCTAAAACTAGGGAAGGCTTGAGGCTCAGGAAAGCCCAAAAAAATCAGCAGGGAAACCCCAAAAATATGGGAGGGGTCTTAAAACCTCCAGGGGGTTCCCCAAGATCCCCCCTAAAAAGATGGGATGGTCTCCAAGGGGAAAAGAAGCCCTAAGGGAAGAAGGTGAAAGGGGGAAAACGGTGGGGAAGGGAATTTGGTGGGGGGGGTCCCAGGGTTGTGGGAGTGCTTTGAGGGGGTCCTGGGACTCTGGGGGGGTCTGACAGAAATTTGGGGGGGGACTGACCAAGATTTTGGGGGGTCCCCACCTCATACTGGTCGTAGGCAAACATGTTCGCCCACCACTCGCGCATCTCGGGGTTCGTGAAGTCGGGGTACGCCGAGGAGCCTGGGGGGGACACGAGGGGGATTGTGACCCCCCTGGAGACCCCAAAGCCACCCAAAACCCACCCTTAAATTCCCCTAAACCACCCCAAATTCCCCCCAGCCCCACTGACAGAACAACAGAACCAACACCAGCCCTTGTAGCCGTTACCACCCTCAGTCTTGATGTGAAACTCCCCGAGCACCCAAACCCTCCTGAAATCCCCAAAATCCCCCCAAAAATCCCCTAAAAGCCCTCGAGGACCCCCCAGCTCCCCCCCAGCCCCACTGACCAGGCCAGCACCAGCCCTCGTAGTCGTTGCCATCCTTGGTTTTGACGTAGAGGCCTCGAGCCCGCAGCTCCGCGTGCACCCGGTACCCCCCGTCCACCTTGATGTGAGGGTCCACGATGCTGACCATCTGTGGGCAGTGTCCAGGGCTGAGTGACCACGGGGGAGTGACCACGGGGCAGTGTCCAGCAGGGTGAGTGACCACCGGGCAGTGTCCAGGGGGGCAGCGGCCGAGGGAACGTCCCCAAATTCCCCAATTCCCACCCCGATGCCGGACACAAAACCACCCAGAGTAACCCCAAAGTGCCTTTGTGGGGTCCCCACTGTCACAGTTTGGGCAGGGAGAGCCCAGTGCCAATTTCCATTCCTGATCCTGATCCCAATCCTAATGTCCAGCCCATTCCTGGCTCGATTCCAACCCCATTTTCCATTTCCTATCCCCCATCCTGCTCCTGACCCCATTCTCTATCCCATCCCCATCCCAATCCATCCCAAACCCCATCCCCACCCCAGTCCCATTCCTATTCCCAATCCCATTCCAATTCCAAACCCACATCAAATCCCAATTCCATTCCTGCTCCCTCTCCCACGCCCATTCCCATTCCCACCCTGCATTTCTGGGCTGCCAGCTGCTCCAGGATCTTTGGGAATTCTGCAGGATCCCATCCCAACCCCAATCCCATTCCCAATCCCATTCCCATCCCCACCCTACGTTTCCGGGCCGCCAGGCGCTCCAGCTATGACACTTCCATTCCTGCTCTCTTTCCGAATCCCATTCCCATCCTCACCCTGCATTTCTGGGCTGCCAGCTGCTCCAGGAGCTTTGGGAATTCTGCAGGATCCCATTCCCAATCCCATTCCCATCCCCACCCTGCATTTCCGGGCCACCAGGCACTCTAGCATCCCCCGTGGATTCGGGAATTTGGCAATATCCCATTCCCAATCCCAATCCCACCCAATCCCATTCCCATCCCCACCCTGCGTTTCCGGGCCGCCAGGCGCTCCAGCATCCCCCGAGGATTGGGGAATTTGGCAATATCCCATTCCCAATCCCAATCCCACCCAATCCCATTCCCAATCCCATTCCCAATCCCATTCCCAATCCCATTCCCAATCCCATTCCCAATCCCATTCCCAATCCCATTCCCAATCCCATTCCCAATCCCATTCCCAATCCCATTCCCAATCCCATTCCCAATCCCATTCCCAATCCCATTCCCATCCCCACCCTGCATTTCCGGGCCACCAGGCACTCTAGCATCCCCCGAGGATTGGGGAATTTGGCGGGGTCCCAGGTGAAGTAGCGCTTGCCGTCGGCGTGCTCGATGTCCAGCCAGAGCACGTCCAGGGGCAGCTCGTGCTCCTCGAATCCCCTCTCCACGGCCTCCACGTCCGCCTCGTCCTGGTAATTCCAGCGGCTCTGGTGGTAGCCCAGGGAGAACAGGGGGGGCAGAGCCTGCGTGCCTGGGCAAGGGGCAGAAACGGAGTCAAATCCCCCAAAACGACCCCAAAAACGGGGATGGGGCAGGGCCAGAGGGGAGGGATCCCCTAAAATAAACCTAAAAATGGGGCAGGGTGGAAATGCCCTGAAAATTATGCCTGAAGTGGGAATGGGGGGGGAATTCTCTGAAAATAACTTTAAAAACAAAAACAGGGTAAGATTAAATCTGAGAAATCCCCCAAAATTCCCCCTGAAAATGGGAATGGGGATGAAGGAGAAAAATTTGCAGTGTCCTGTACCAGTCAGGGCTGTACTGGTGTCCCTGTCCCCATCCCAGTGTCCCCAGTGTCCTGTACCAGTCAGGGCTGTACTGGTGTCCCTGTCCCCATCCCAGTGTCCCCGCTGTCCCCACCTGTCAGTGTCTCGTACTGGTGTCCCCATCCCAGTGTCCCCAGTGTCCCCAGTGTCCCCGCTGTCCCACCTGTCAGTGTCCCATACTGGTGTCCCCATCCCAGTGTCCCCGCTGTCCCACCTGTCAGTGTCCCGTACTGGTGTCCCTGTCCCCATCCCAGTGTCCCCAGTGTCCCTGCTGTCCCACCTGTCAGTGTCCCATACTGGTGTCCCCATCCCAGTGTCCCCAGTGTCCCCAGTCCCCGCTGACCCACCTGTCAGTGTCCCGTACTGGTGTCCCTGTCCCCATCCCAGTGTCCCCAGTGTCCCTGCTGTCCCACCTGTCAGTGTCCCATACTGGTGTCCCCATCCCAGTGTCCCCAGTGTCCCCAGTGTCCCCGCTGTCCCACCTGTCAGTGTCCCGTACTGGTGTCCCTGTCCCCATCCCAGTGTCCCCAGTGTCCCCAGTGTCCCCGCTGTCCCACCTGTCAGTCTCCCGTACTGGGCGGTGACATCGGCGGGCCCCGGCCCCAGCAGCAGGAAGACGTCGATGACGCCGCTCTCGGACATCCAGCGCACCTCGGTCTGGGGGGTCTCACCCCCCCCCTGCATGTAATCCAGCAGCTTCCCAAAAAGGGTCTGGGGGTGGGACAGGGGGTCAGCAACCCCAAATTCCCACTGGGATAAACAGAGACCCCCCCCAGACCCCTCAAATCCCATTCAGAACCCCCCAAATCCCCTTCTTGGACCTTCCCAGCAGTGTTGGAGCCCATGTCCACCCAGGACCCCCCAAACCCAGCTAGGACCCCCCAAACCCCCCCAGACCCCGCAGCCGGACCTTCCCAGCCATGTTGGAGTCAATGTCCACCCAGGACCCCCCAAACCTCCTCCAAATACCCCAAACCTCCCCCAAACCTCTCTCAAACCCCTCAGCTGGACCTTGCCGGCCATGTTGGAGCCGATGTCCACCCAGGACCCCCCAAACCCACCCCAAACCCCCCCAGGACCCCCCAAACCCCCCAGCCGGACCTTGCCGGCCGTGTTGGAGCCGATGTCCACCCAGGTCTCGGCGGCGTTGAGCCAGAAGAGGCCGAGGCTGAGGCGGGGCCGGTGGGCGAGCAGCAGCGGCACGGAGCCGTACAGAGCCATGGGCGTGAACACCTCGTACTGGAACACGTCCAGGTTGTACAGGCGGTACGGGTCACCCCCCCTGGGGACACGGGGACACTCAGGGACACGGCCAGGGGACAGGGACATTGTCCCAAGGGTGTACAGGCGGTACAGTCACCCGCCCTGGGGACACGGGGGCACTGCGGGACACGGCCAGGGGACAGGGACATTGTCCCAGGGGTGTACAGGTGGTACAGTCACCCGCCCTGGGGACACTCAGGGACACGGCCAGGGGACAGGGACATTGTCCCAGGGGTGTACAGCCAGTACAGTCACCCCCCCGGGGACATCAGGGACAGGCTCGGGGACACCCCCAGAATGTCACTGTCACCCCACGAAGCCACCCGCACACAGCATCGCTGTTGCTGTCACTGCTGTCACTGTCACTG